AAGAGGTATCACGGCAGTTCTTCCTTAGCTAATACATTCTTGGTCTTTTGCTAAGATTAGGGAGAAGGTAAATAAGAAGTGTAGTGGTGTTTGTTATTATGTGAGCATCTGCCAGAGTCAAGACACAGACACATAAATCATTACATTAAGGGCAACATCCATCCTATGTTAACTTTCATTTACTAAAAACCTGGGATAAAACATGAATCTGTGTGGTACATCCCTCTACTCAGTACCTGACCTATACAGCTCTCCATAAAAAATGGGGTTCCACAAAAAAAAAAAATGGATAAGAAAATAACCGAAATAATGTTAGGATGTCATTGTACATACGACCAATAGCATTAGAGTCTCTTAAGCATATTTTATATTTCACCTGCCTGACATTTAAAACAAGGGTGCTTCTTACCACTGTCCAAGGTACAGTACTCTATTCTAATGCTTGTACGCTTTGTACGATCTAACAGCAAGACACTGACTTGGAAAAGTATACATGGTATAGAGCACAACTCAAACTGCCTAGGGTCCTGCTGGCTCCTCATAGCTATTTCATTGAATTAAGCAAAGGCAGGACTTGCATAATGCAGGATGAAACACAGGTACTCAAATCACATATAAGCAAACTAGGGAGCACCTCAGTTTGCTGCTCCTTCTAGGAACCAAAATCCCATTTGCAGATAGGGAAACTAAAGTGGAGAGATGAACTTTCTTTCCTGAGACCCCAGAGACAATCTCAGAAGCCAGGAGGTCTTGACTCTCCTATCATGCGTTCAAGGCTACACCTCTCCATTATAGATTCATAGATGTAGGGTCGGAAGGAACCTTGTAGATCTTCTAGTCCGACCCCCCTGTCCTGGACAGGAGAGAATACTGGGCTCAAATGACCCCAGGTAGGTAAATGTCAAGCCTCCTCTTAGGAGGCTTGACCATCTAAGAGCCTGGTACTTAGAAGGTAGGAGCTAGCACCACTTCCTTTGGAAGTTGGTTCCAGATCCTGGCCACCCTGACTGTGAAGTAGTGTCTTCTAATGTCTAGTCTAAACCTACTCTCTAACAACTTATGGCCATTATTCCTTGTTACTCCGGGAGGTGCTTGGGGGAACAAGGTCTCTCCCAATCCCGGCTGGTCTCCCCTAGTAAGTTTATAGACGGCCACCAGGTCCCCCCTCAGCCTTCTCTTGTGAAGGCTGAACAAGTTAAGGTCCCATAGCCTCTCCTCGTAGGGTCTGCCCTGCTGTTCCTGGATCGTGTGAGTGGCCCTTCTCTGGACCCTCTCAATACTGTCCACATCCCTCCTGAAGTGCAGTGCCCAGAACTGGATGCAGTACTCCAGCTGTGGTCTGATCAGTGTCACATAGAGGGGGAGGATCACCTCCTTGGACCTGCTTGTGATGCATCTGTGAATGCACGACAAGGTGCAGTTAGCCCTACTGACCGTGTCCTCGCATTCCCGGCCCATGTTCATTTTGGAGTCAATAATGACTCCAAGATCTCTTTCTGCCACTGTACTTTTGAGAAGGGAGTTCCCCAGCCCATAGGTATGCTGCTGGTTCCTACTGCCTAAGCGCAGCACCCTGCACCTGTCAGTATTGAATCCCATCCTATTTTCATTTGCCCACCCCTGTAACCTGTCCAGGTCCCGCTATAATCTGTCCTTCCCTTTTAGCGTGCCCACCTCACCCCAAATCTTGGTGTCGTCTGTGAATTTAAAGAGGGTGCTTTTCACCCCATCGTCCAAGTCACTAATAAAGAAATTGAACAGTGCGGGCCCAAGGACCAAGCCCTGGGGACTCCACTGCTCACATCCCTCCAGGTCGCATATGACCCATCCACCACCACTTTCTGAGTACGACCCCTCAGCCAATTTGCAATCCATCTGACTGTGTAGGCATCAATGCCACAGTCGCCTAGCTTTTTAATGAGAATGGGGTGGGAGACAGTGTCAAAGGCCTTCCTGAAGTCCAGAAAGACTACATCCACCATGACAACTGCGTCCAATGATTTTGTGACCTGATCGTAGAAGGCAATCAGGTTGGTCTGACAGGACCTGCCCCTAATGAAACCATGCTGGTTGCCCTTGAGCATCATCCCTGCTGCTCCTTGATAATCTTTTCAAAGAGCTTCCCCAGGATTGAAGTAAGACTAACGGGCCTATAGTTGCCCGGGTCCTCCCTCTTCCCTTTTTTAAAGATGGGGACCACATTAGGGCTGTGCAAAACAGCACCGTTTCATTTCAACTTCCATTTTTGCCATTTCAATGGGTCAGTGTTCCTTTTGAGTTTCGTTTAATTTTGAAACTGCTGTTTTGTTTCATTTCATCGAAACTGTTTCGCTGTTTTGATGCTGTTTCAACGTTTCGCCTATAGACTATGGGGAAGCATGAAACTACCTATAACTTTGTCGTTTTGTGCCCAATTTGGATTAAACTTGCAGGGATAGTAGCCTCTTCTCACACCATGACGCCTGCCAAGTTTCATGGAGATAGGTGCAGGGGTTTCTGGGAAACTGCACCTCAAAGTCTTGAAAGCAAAACTTGTGTCACGTGTGTGTGTGTGTTAAGGCACAGCTGTTTTTCTGTCCCACCCCCAGAGCACTGGGATTAGATGGGACCTCAGGGAAGGATCACAGTCACTGGCCAGCTACACAGTCAATATCAGAGCAGTCCTTCCTCACTCCTCCCCCTCCCTCTCCTTAGTTTCTGTTTCCCTGCAAGCAAGCCCAGCTTCAAAACTCAAAACATTTTGAAACTTTTGAAACATTTTGAGTGCCGTCATTTCATTTTGAGGCTGTTTCAAAGCCTTTTGTTTCATTTCGATTTCACTGTTTTGAGCTCGAAACAAGTTGAAACGAAACACCCGGTGAAGTTATGTACAACCCTACTTTCCATGCCTTTCCTTCTTAGTAATATGGTACATTTCGACAGAATGATATTCAGCACACAGTGATCACTTAGTGCTATTTAAAATGTCACATTTTATACAGTTCTACTTTGATATATGTTTCTTAAGTCACTTTGAATTATGTTCCATCCCAGGGAGCAGCTACTTCTTCTTACCAGTTTGTGAAATGAACTTTCCTAAATTCATATAAAACTGACTGTAATGCTCTATCACCATTTCCTGTAAAGTCATGCCTTTCCTAAATGTATATCTATCCCTTAAATTCATTCACCTGAACATCATTTGCTTCTGTGGCCCTCTTTGGCAGCACATTTCATGTGATTAGTACCATTTAAGATAAATAGGTAAGTTTGAATTTCCAATTTCCTTTTAATTTCCAAATTGTTTAGATTGTGTAACTTGTTTATTGAACTGTTTACCAGAAAGAACACTTGCTCTATTTTATCAACCCTTTCTACAATTCTTTAGACTTCTACTCAATCCCATTAAAGCCTGCATTTCTGAATTGAGAATAAATTGCTTCTTTAGCCTTTTGTCAAAACAAATATTCTTAAATCCTGGAATCATCCACATCACCCTGCAATGTAGACTCTTTAAGTGCAAACAGACCCTTTCTTTGAAATGATTACCAAAATTCAACCATATACATACTATGCGAGGTTTATTGCAGTCGTACACTTGACTAATTGCTTTGAGGATTTTTCTGCAATAACCTCTAAATCCCTCTTCCTAGTTGGTATGCAGCATAACTATTCCATTTAATACATACTCCTTATTTTGGGTTGTTGCCCCCAGACATATTATTTTACATTTATCTACATTAAGCTGTACTTTCCATTTACTAACCCAGTCGTCTACATCTTCCAAATTCTTTTTGTTCTCCATTATTTGTTATATCTATATGGTAGATACAATCAGTGACTTGGATATTTCACATTCATTCTCCTCACCAAAATCAGTTACCAATATTATAAACACGAAGTGAACTAAATTATCTCCTAGAAATATTAGCCACTCTCCACCAATTTCATTTTGAAAACATTTTGTCCACTTTTATGAATGAATTAGTTTCTTTTCATACCAATACTGCTTCTGTTTTCCAGTAACTTTTAATATATAATCATATCAAAACCTTTCATAAATAAAAAAATTACAGTTGATTTTCATGCTACTTTATGGGAAAAAATGTCTTAGCAGCAGGGAATGTACCATATATATGGAGACAGGAGCCATCTCCAATCAAATAATATTTGTCATTTCCTTTGCTTAAATTTCACTCATATAGTATTAATACCATAGAAGTAGAATTTCTTGATATATTTCCTGATGGACCCTTAAACAGATGCAGTAAGAAGCAGGGCTGCTGCCCAAATAACTATCCCCATGACACTCTCACCTTTCCATTCTCCACACCCATAACAGTGAAAGTTTAAATCAGTGAGACAAATGGTTGCTTGGTGCTTCTGAGTGCTGGGTCATTTAGATGTTTGGAAGAGGTCAGTGGTGCCTAAGTTTAGGCATCAGAATTTGAAAAATTTGGTGACAGTTCTAATCTGCATCTCTTTTTAGGCCCCTATTTACTTTGTGTCCTTTAATTTAAAAAATGTGGAAATATTGGGTGTTTATACACATGCTCTGGGAGTGGGGGACGGAGGTGCTTTAATTAGAGCAGCTCCAAGAGCAACTCTAATTAAAGCGCCCAGGGTGTCACATGCATCAGCGTCCTCACTCTGAAAAATGGCGGCAGCGGTGCTTTAACGAAAGCTTGTGAAATGAGTTTTAAAGTGCCCCCACCACCATTTTTCAGTGCAGGGATGCTAATACATGTGACACTGGAGTCTGCTGGAGCACAGTAATTACCATGCTCCAGCAGACTCAATTAACTGATTAACTGTAATTACAGCACATTGGTGCAGACTTGCTGCATGTGTATAGGCACGCATTAATAGCAAAGTAATCCTAAAATCCACATAAACTACAGCCTTTTACTACTTTTTTTTACTCCTACAGTCTGAGGTTCTCAAATACTACAGAGTATCCCAATTAATTATGTCTTGTACATTCCTGTACTGTGTTATTAACCCCATTTGACATAGGAAAAAACTGAAGCTGGGATAGGCTAAGTGACAAATCTACATTAAAGAAGCCTATGAGTGAGTCAAGCATAGCACCTTTGCCTCTCAGCTCTTAGAAACAAACCATGACAGCAACAATTACAGGTCCCATTCTGCTACATACTTCTTTGTAACAATGACTATCTGTAGTTAAAGGCAGGGTAGATTTGCACCTTATAGACTAACTAGATATAGCACGTTTACTCTGAGAATAATTTTTCTATAAGATTAATTCACTGGTCTTTGATAACACCAAAGTTACTATAGTTAAAACAATGAAGGACCAACTAGTGGCTCAACATCTGTAATTTTGCCCAAACAAGTTAAACACTTTGAACCAAGATTCTACATATGCAGAATGGTTATAACTATATTTTTCTTACAGTTAAATATGAATTGAGACCTATAGCTAAAAATACTATTTTTATCTTTAAGCCAACGAGTTACAATGGCATGTAGTTAAATGCAGTCCAAATAAATACCATGATGCACATCACATTTAGGTCTTGTTCACATTACTGTACATTTCCTATTACATTACATTACTATACTATACATTTTCTACATTACCATCCTAGGAAATGATTTTTAAAAATGATTTTGCCAAGTAAAAACTAGCTGGCGTTGTGTAGCCTGTTTGCATAATTTGGTCTGAAAACTATTTGCCATTTAAATAGTCCCTTGAAGTGTGAAAGTTGCGGCTACCCTTATATTCTTCCTCCTAATATTTCATCACAGAGATGTAACAATGCTGCTGGGCGCTTGTGGCAGCAGGATGCATGGGGATAGGGGTGACTTCTGGTTGTTGACAGCCCGCTGGTGCAATTATGTGGTAGTGGCAGTAGCAGCAGCAGCTATTTTTCTATCCCCACTCCCCTGCCCAAATCAGCGCTGCTGCCCCAGTCGCCCACTGTAGTTATGCTGCTGTTTTACCACTTATCTCCAATGACATGTGGCCCAAATTCCAGCTCTGATGGCTTCTTCTTACCCAGTTTTCAGTCTTCTTAAGTCTGACCTGTCATTGCACAATTTTTAATAATATTAGATAAGACTTCACCAATTTCTCTTTGGAATAAACTATTTAATATCCTTTATGTAAGACATGTGTGTGCAATCACTTCTGTGGTATTTACTTGTATTACACACACAGTATTCATCATCTTGACAATTTTTTAAGTTTTAGAACCATTTCACTTAACAGTTTTAAAAAAAAGATTTATTTGATGGTTAACTCTGGAACAAGTTATCTGCATTAACTTCCATTGTTTTGGCATAAAGTAGTTCTGTATATTTTACTAACAACAGTGTAGACATGATAAAGGATGTAGGCAGAAAGCCACAAATAGCTATAGCTAGAATCCTAGTATTCAGGGAAAATAATTCATTTTAGGGGCTTTCATTGGAAATGTTTTCTTGCAGACTAGTTTTGGACTTTGAGCTTTAGTATTGTCTAAAATGTTGTACCTGGATATAACATTTATGACCCCTGGAAGACCAGACCATACACTGTAAATCATATAAGGTATAAACTAAATTTTCAACATGGTTGGAATGATGTTATGGACACAATAGTTCCAGACCACTAGCATAAGGCTTAAACATGACCCTTGAAAATTAGAAGGGGAAGCTACCAAATTTCATTCACCTGATCATGCCTATTTGCCAGAGGTAAATGAGAGGAACAGACTGACCAGGTAATAATGTTTACACTCCAACATTTACGATCCCCCTAAAGTATTCTGGGTATTATAATCATGTAAACTCTGCAGAGATTCCTCTGAGGTTTAAATCAGAAAATTACATCATACAGCTACAGCCAACTGGTATTTTAAAATATGGTTATAAACTAAAATATCAAACAGGAATTTGTAATAGTTAATTTGGAATTTGGGATGTGATTGCATCTAAGTAGCAACCAATACAAGGATGAAGGGTATCACAGCAACTCTTAAATGAATTTGTTGCATCTCTGAGGCACAAAGGATTCTGTCATGCCCTTTCAAGACATGTAGGAATTCCTAGGTGGACCACTTACTTGGCCTTTGAAGAACTGATTTTTAAATGTAGACTGTAACAGCTGCTAAACTACCTCTGCCCATGTTACCTTTCAGTACCATGTGACATAGAAAGATAACTTAAATTTGGAAGTGAACATGAGGGGAGCTACAGAAGAGGTGAATTTTTAAAACTGCAATCTTTTCTAGCTTATATGCATTCTTATAAGTTATGCTTGTTTATTGAGACAAGCTATTCAAAACTTGGTGTAATATACAATCCAGAACTTGACCCCGTAGAATTTGATTTAACCTAAAACAGAACTGCAGCTAGTGTTTCTAATTCAGTTCCCATTCATCTGACAGTAACATCATTATCTTTCTATTCTTTTTGTTGGTGTTGTTTTTAATAAAATAGTGCATGGACTGACTGTTGGTGCCAATAAAGGAAGCTGATTCCAATAAGTAATTTTTCATTAGGGTAAATGAGGTGTTGTGAATAAATACATACAATATAACATGACAACATGTTATGAAGATAGAATGCAAAGTACACATGTCTATTTAAAGTCAATGTGCCTAGGCTTCTTGGTAGTGCAGTTTCATAGCACAAATGCAAAGATTAATACATTTAGTATACATTGAAAAAACTAAAAATATCTGGTGGCCAAAATGGCAAACGTTCAGATTGGCATGCCACATCATAAATGGAATATCATGCAATTTCCATTATTTAGCTACAATTGCATGAAAGCTTGTAATTTTTAAGCCATTGTTATAACATTTCAAACAAGCCATATAAAGGTAAAACACTTTCTGGTCTCTGTTTCATCTTTGTATATGTAAGACTTTCAGGGAAGTGTAGCTGCAAAGATTTGGAGAGATTTACTTGAGGTAGAAAAAACCCAGAAATGGTGTCTACCTTAGTCTGAACAGCTAACTGAACAGCACCTTTTTGGAAGTCCAGAACTTCCCTGCCCTGTTTTGTTTTGTTTTGTTTTTTAAACTCCAAGTTCCTGGGTTAACATCCAACAGCCTCCTATCTTATCTTTGCTATTTTATGTTCAGATTTTCTCTACCCTGTCTTTGCTGATACCCTGGGCAAATCAAATAGAGAATTCAACAAATTTGGGGATTCTGACTGACTCAGCTACGAACTCCAAATGAATGCTCTAGCACTTGTCCAAGGCCATTGACATACAAAAGCACCTTTGGTGCAAAAGGGTGAACTGGGGGTCAGAAGAAGGGGAGTTAGCTTTTCCCCCTGTCACTTTGTGTCATCTATATTTTATTTTCCACCTCCGTAAAATGGAGATTTTTTTTACTTCATTTTACTGGATGTCTTGTGTTTGTAAAACTACTTCAGATCCTTAACTGGAAAGTGCTATGGAAGTCTGGATGTTGTTGCTGTTGCGTCAACAAGACTCAAGCAAGTACCAGAATGCAGACTGCACTTGGAAGAGACAGAAAGACACGACATGTCACGTTTTTTGCAAGCAATGGATTTTTGTGGTTTTTGAGGAGAGATGGTAAAAGCTGGGTTAAAGAAGCATACATCCACACTTCATGGCAGGGGTGTCCAACTGGTGGCCAGTGGGTTCTGGGGGTCCAGAAAGGATTAATTTGTGACTCTCACACACTTGCTGCTCCTCCAATTACTTTGAATGTAACAGCACCAAAAGTTTGTATCCTGCTCCTTCTTCTAGCTGCTGTGTCCTGCCCTGGTGCTAGGGAGTGGGGCAGTGTTGAGGGTGAGGGGGACTGGAGCTACATGGAGGAAAAGGTGTCTGTAAGGGAGAGGTGTCTGTAAGGCTACACACTGCAGTGACGGAGGGGGACTGTGCCTCTGTGGTGCAGGCCTGTGGGGGGTGTGAGGACATACAGTGCAGTGGGGAAGGTGGGATTGCAGGGTTTGTGTGCAATGCAACAACAAAGGAGCAGCAAGGAGCAGCAGGGGAGCATCCACATGCTGTGTGTCCCAGTGGCCTGTGGCTTGTGTGGTATGACCCACACAGCATGCACCCCCTACTGGAGTGGACCCCAGGGGCTTAGAAGTTGGACCAGCCTGGCCTGTGACTATGGGTATTGCAACGTTCTCACTATCATGAAATTCCACTATATTTTTGCTAAGGGACTGCCCTCTTCCCACCCCCTCACCCCCAAAATCCTTACCCCTTTCATGTTTAGCTTATTCACAGTTAACGAAATTGAATGTAAAAATATTGCAACTGTGCATGTAAGTACATATATTCATATATCACTGGTCAAATATATGCAGCACTATCATAACTGCACGGGCATCCCTTAACCTTTAAAAAAAATAACCTTTTGAGTGCTGCAGGACAAAATACAGCACCCATCAATCAATATTTACCCTGAGCAAAACAGAACAGATACAAATAATTAGTCTGTAATTCTGTTCTCCACACCAAATCAATGCTACAGATCAGCTTGTAGGAGAAAAGTTGTCCTATTTGCACCTTTCCCAGTGAGCTACTCTTTATTTTGTGTTTTGATGCATCTTCAAGAAGCAAGAGTCCTAAGATTTTTTGTTTCCTGTATCCAGGTATTACAAAGCTGCAACCTGAATCAGAACTAAGAAAACAATTATTTCTCATTTTCTTTTTCCCAGGAAGCAGCACCCCTATGATGTATTATCATTTCCTGATCTGTTTCATACAGAGCGAGGAACAGGTTACCTGAAGAAGTAACTTCCAGGAATACCACAATGGACAGCGCTGGGGAGATTCATGACTAACGGACAAAAAAAAAGCTGGATGGACACAAAAGAATGTGAAAGATTAAGACAGAAAACAAAAGAGCAAAGAATGTGAGAGAGAAATTAGGATAGGAGTTTCATGTGAACGAGCAAAGATGGTCAATGGCTTAAGATTATAAAGCCAAAAACAGATGTTCATTTGCCCTTGAATAAATTATACCTGTGTTTGTCTCAGTGCAGAAATATCCCAGAATGGCATGAATACACATCATCCTTCTAATAATCAGGGTTTAGTGAGTAGCTGCATGCACTATTACTTTTCTGTCATTGAGTCATTGATGCAATCCCAGGATAACCGTTCAGATTAACTTTGCATTGACCTGGGATAAACTGTTAGTACTTCTTATCCTGTGAACCTTTTCAGAATGTATCCTGGGACAATGGAGATGGATGCCTGAACAACTGCACTTTGTTCCAGGATAAAATTGTTTATCCCCGGACAAATGCAATGTCTGATTGTAGCCTGAATGTCTTATCTTCCTGAGTAAACTTTCTCCAGAAGTGCACTTGTTCTTTAATGAGTCTCTGAGACTCAGGAGCACGGTCCAGCAGCTTCCTATTAATAGAAGGAAGGATTGAAATGATGGAGTACTGATCTCCCTTGACACCTGTGGGACACTATCCACTATTAGTACTTAATCTGTTTTTTCTTAAACCATGGCCTTGTCACTTCAAAATGCTAGGCCACACAACCTATAGTATACATCATCCCTGCCAACAGATAAAATATCCAGAGAGAATCCTGGAAAAGGGGTCTAGGACTGGCAGCATCAGATGACCCTCCTGTTTTACATGTTTTTAATGTTCTCAGAAGAGTGATATGGAGTTGCCTGGTGAGCAGAGCCTAAGACTTGGAAACACCGAGGCTCATAATGAGTATGAGGGTCCCACTTCCTCTAGAGAATGTTACACAAAACAGTGCTTTTGGCCTAAGAACTGCTTAGCAATAATTCAGCTTGTTAATCTTGTGGCCTAGTTGATTAATATAATATATAGGCATTCCTGATAGAGTAAAGGCTGTGTTGAGCTTATATGTGATACTTTTTACTCAGTAAAGGCACTAAATCCAGATGAGCTGTTTGGTCCTATATTTTCAAGATGGGAGTGGCACATAGGATAGGAAATAAGACCAGAGAAATGAAGCACGAGAGGAAAAAAACAATATAAAATTAAGGCAGAAAAGATAAATGAAAGAGAAAATAGACATGGAGAGGGAAAAGTGGAAAACAGATGAAGAAAGCAGAGAAAATAAAGACAGAAATCTAGTGTGGAAATCACCTCTAATGATACCCACTATATATTGGCTCAAGAAAAACTAACTCAAGCAGTTTGCCTCGACTCAAGACTTTTGCCTTGACTCAAGACTTTTAAGGCACAGTTCTTCAGAAATACCTAGGCTCACTGAAATCAATGCAATTTAGACCCTTAAATACCAATGTTGATTTGGGCTGAAGTCATTTTGAAAATAAAACTTACATACTTACATCACTTAGATTGCTCAAAATTTATCCTCTACCTATTTTCCAAATATTTTCTGACAGAAAATCTTCTATATTATAGACTCATATTTCAAAGATACACTAATTTTCTTATCATTTGCATCTTCCCTCCCCAATCTGGTTTCATTTGGAATTACCTGCACAGTTAATAGGCATATTTACATGTGCATTAATGCACCTTTTCTAATACACTTTAAATTCAGTAACTCCAATATAAGGTACTAAATTAATGTTCATTAGGCAGCGCTAATGCATAGTAGCACATTTGCACATTTTTTTAGTAATATTTAATGTGTAGTAGACTACTTTAGTGTGCATTAGTATAATGTCACTTTTTTACGTGATGCTCTGATGCAAAGTAAAATAGTCTACTGGGCATTAAAGTGCAAGTGTATATGCACCCACTGGCTACAAAATCCTCCTTCTCAGAATGCTCTCTCTAACCCTCACTGGAGGAAGAGGGTAAACCAATCTCTAACTGCCAATTGTATTTTACACCTGAAAGTATTCAGTGCACCCAAAACGCCTGAATTTTCAAAATTAAAACTGCTGCATAAATTATGTTACTAAGTTGACAAATATTAGCTGTGACTGATAAAGGTTGTAACTGAAACATTCTTAACCTCTTCTTCCAGAAAATACCCAACATGACACCCCTACTTTCAGTAGCAGAATTAAAAAGAACAGTTAAATTAGTTCGAAACAAATGCGGGCCTTAAAGATCTGTGTTTTAATAGTTTTAATAGTTCTGACTCCTCATGTTACTTTTCTTGTTATAAACTCCTCTAGCCAAAGTCACGTCTATTTTAATCTAGTACTTGTGGGATTATTACTAATTCCATTTTGTTGCATAACATATTAACTGCTGGCAAATGACTTCAAAAATACCTTAATCACTTTAGGTCACCAAAGATAAAGAGATAGTGATTACTTTGTATTTTATATATGGAGGTGACACTTTGACCCCAATAAAGTCCTGACAAAACTCCACTGGTTTCAGTAGAGTCAGGATTTCACTTTAATTACTTAATTCATGGATTCTTATGCCTTAAATTTTCTTAAAAGGTAAATACAAGAATCTGCATAGAGATACAGGGTAATTAGATTATGGATAAAAGAAAAACATTAAACTTCTCCAAAACATGCAGGTCAATTTATTTTCCAAAGCGCAGTCAATGTTCTAAGCATGTTTAAAATTCTTTTAAGCTTTGATCTAAAAAGTAACAATACTAAGTGCACATAAAACTGGTAATGAATGACAGGTATTACATGCACATAAAACTGGTAATGAATTACCATGAAGACGAGTGGCCAGTGATTATTTTTTGTATTACTTGAGGGGCAGGATATAGAAATAGAAGTTAAGAATAAAGAAATACAAACAAAAAACCCCACTAGCTGACATCTGATTTTATCCACTTCTTTTAACAATAACTTTACTTATTCAAAATTATCACTATATCATGAAAATGGCTGTCAATACTTTATTGATCCAACACTTGGAAGATTTTTAGAATGTTTTAAGGTAAATCCTTTGCCTGAATCATTTCAAAAGAGTGTGTGTGTGTGTGTGTGTGTGTGTGTGTGTGTGTGTGTGTGTGTGTGTGTGTGTGTGAGAGAGAGAGAGAGAGAGAGAGAGAGAGAGAGAGAGAGAGAGAGAGAATTAATTCTATTCTAGTTCTAAGAACGGACAAAAGGATTTTAGGGTCCTTTTTGACTAAGAATTGCTTGTATTCTCTAATGCTTTAAAACTCTGGAGTATGTATGCAAGCATATTTACAGCTTCCAAACAGTATGGAATCTTCTTCTGTTATACAGAACTGAAAATTAATGGGTGCTTGAAAAGTGATATCACACCTTAAACCACCTAGACTTTTGCTTATTTCATTTAATTTCTTTTTATTAAACTAATACCAGGATACTGTAGCATGTAATTTCCTGGTTTGTGGAAATCCCTCTAATCAGGATATTTAGAATGGATGTCCCCTTTAAATGGACTCTTTTTGTAACATACGCAATGCAGAAGGGAATGCTATCATAACACTTCAATAGTTAAGTGACTTTATGAGAAAAATACTTCCAAATGTTTCCTAAAACCTTCCAAACCGCACCAAAGAACATTATCGTAATATTATGTTTCCCCATGGCCTCCAATATTTAAGCTTGCCATTCTTGAAATGATACTTGGATGAAAAACTTACATTTATGTAATGTATAAATTGTTCCTAAAAGAAAAGGCTTGTCTTTTAAATGACTAACTATATGTAGATGTCAGATATTTTAAGTTTTCAATAGCTTTCCTTTATTGACCAAACAGTGCTCTAGTGCTTTGGATTGCTACAAAGGACATACATAGTCCTTATTTTAAACCTGAGCAGTCATGGTGAGTAGTGAAAACAATAACTGTCCTAAATGATTACATATCAAGTTACACTTAATAGATATCCATATTTCTTCTATAGTATACATAATCCATATAAACTGTATACCATATATCAATAATATGTTCCAGTGAATCCAGCATCAAAGAGTTCGTTTATAGTAGGTTTTCATTTGAATCGGGGTTGTAATGTTCTGTGCAAGCATAAGCTAACCATTTCAATGATTTTGCCAGCAAGCTGCTTTTTGGCAGATTATTGGCAGCACATACTGGCAACAAAGTAGAGCAGCTAAGCCCTACTTATAAGTTACAGGTAAATAATGATTTTAATAAATTTATGTAAAATGTTCCACTTGGTCACATCTGTTTTTGATAACTCAACTGCGCAAATGCAAACTTCTGTGTGTTTCTCAGGGAAACACATATTTCACCTTAATTATTTAACACTTTCTCAGGTACCCCAAGAAATAAATAAGCACTGAAACCCAATTATGCTTGAAGGTTTGCCGAGGTAACCATAACATTGTCTGAAAAAGCTAAAACAATGTATTAAAAATAATAATTTAACACATGCAAAAATTTAAAACACATTTAGTCATGAATACAACATTTAAGCAATAAGAAAATTGCAGGGCTATCATCCAATTATCTTAGCCACAGGGCATTAAAAATCATGAGGTCCAGTCAATTGCCTCTGACCCCAAGAGCTATGTAGTAATACATGGTCTTTGACCCTCCCTTGAAATAAGTTACTATATTACACGTATTTGTACTTTCTGGCACTACGACTAATATTTAAATGTACATTGGTCTATCTCAGGCAGTGTGGTCTAGAGGAACTCCTGAATTGTTGCTAGTGAGCCATTGTGTGTCTTTATAACCACCTCATACCTCTGTATGTCTTTGTTTTTCCATTTCTAAAGCAGGAAGAAGATTTTTCTACCTCAGAGGGATTTTGAAGCCACATTTATAAAGCTCTGAAGAGGTTAGAATTGCAGAGGAGCAACAGAAGGAGTAGTTGGTAGCATCCTTAAAGGAGAAATCGTTGGACCTGATCTCTGTTGACATAAAGCAGCATAGTTCCACTGAAATAAATTGGATTACACTCATTTAAGTTATGAGAGTATCAGGCCTTTTCTATTTTGTTACCAGAAATCTTGCAGCAATCATCTCTCCTCTATGTATAACATAGCCTCAATACTAAGAATGATTAGCTAACAAGAAATGAAAAAAGATTCCCCAGCTATTTTCACTGTCCATGCAATTTATTTGTCCAAGTGGTCTAAAAAAGATAAGTGTGTAAAATTATTTTGTTACTCTGAGGTTAGCACTACC